ACAACCATTTTGCCTTTTTGCATTTCTTTTCCATGGGGATGGTCTTGATCCCTGTCTCCTGTACAATGTCATGAACCTCTGTCCATAGTTCATCAGGCTCTCTGTCTATCAGATCTAGTCCCTTAAATCTATTTCTCACTTCCACTGTATAGTCATAAGGGATTTTATTTAGGCCATACCTGAATGGTCTAGTGGTTTTCCCCACTTTCTTCAGTTTAAGCCTGAATTTGGCAATAAGGAGTTCATGATCTGAGCCACAGTCAACTCCTGCTCTTGTTTTTGCTGACTGTATAGAGCTTCTTCATCTTTGGCTGCAAAGAATTTAATCAGTCTGATTTCAGTGTTGACCATCTGGTGATGTCCATGTGTAGAGTCTTCTCTTGTGTTGTTGGAAGAGGGTGTTTGCTATGACCAATGCGTTCTCTAGCAGAACTCTATTAGCCTTTGCCCTGCTTCATTCCGTACTCCAAGGGCAAATTTGCCTGTTACTCCAGGTGTTTCTTGACTCCCTACTTTTGCATTCCAGTTCCCGATAATGAAAAGGACATCTTTTTTGGGTGTTAGTTCTAAAAGGTCTTGTAGGTCTTCATAGAACCGTTCAACTTCGGCTTCTTAGAGACTCACAATTCACATTAGCATTTTCAAGGCTCTGAGAAGTCCAACAGTAATGCAACCTGCTTAGTTTTGTTTAAAGAGAGTTTCACAAACTAATACTTTTCAGAATTCTATTGAGTAACACCTATTTACATCTCTGCACAAATCATGTTTCCTGTATGTGACACACTTTGGAAAATCGTGAGCTTAAGAAAAGCTCAACTGACTCATTTATTTCAGCTCACAACTTTGTAGACTCTGAAGCTAAGATGATGTGAGTCCAGTTTGGATGAACTTTTTAGGGACTATCAGTACAATTCTAGCTGGGTGGATGATATGGTTATGATTGGGTTACTTTGAGGCTCTGTGTGGTAGCTGTATCCTTTGAAAGACTGCAAGGTCTCTTTCAAGTTGCTAGATTCCTATTCTACATCCCATCATCAGCCCCAAACCAGTAAGTTTCCGGAGCCTTTGACCTGCTGAAGGTTTTCCTTTCTAAGCACATTGTGCCCAGTGGGAATGGGGCTTTCCTGGCAGTGATCTGAAAGGAGACTGAATGTCCATCTTCCTGCTCCAGACTGCAGAATAGTGTGCAATCCCTTAGTCACACCTGTTACATCTGAGCGAGTGTGATGAGAGAGTCCATTGCTGGGAAGTGAATCTTGTGTTAAAAGACAAAGAATACACATGGACTCTCAGGTAGTATTCTCTAAGAATCCTGTTATATTCCTGGAGCCTCTGCCTCTTTTCTCTGGCTTCACCAGATTCCCTCCTAGGAAGAGGGGAAAATGGGAAAGAGGGAGAGGCAGACTGGTAAGAAACATATGCCATCCTACTTAGATTCACAGACTCCCATGATACCAGGGTAGCCTGAGAGCTTCATGACCATCTCATGCAGTGATTTGTGGACATCTAGGGTTTACTGGACAGAATGGCCTTTAGGCGATCTTCTAGATCCATATTTACCACTTCAACCACAGAAACTCTGCTTTTTAATATATTGGAGATGCAGGTTAAAATTTTGTTTGAGAAAAGACACCTGCTGCTAAAAGAAACAACTGAAGACAGAAGATCTAGTCCAGCTGTTTTGCATGAATCTCTGGAGCAAGCAGTCATACATCTTCTTCTCAGACCCCTCTAGTAACCAGGAGCTCATTACTATTCCATATTTGGTTGTCTGTTATGTGAAACAGAAATCTGCTTCCCTGAGCCATTTGTCCCAGTTCTGCTTTCTGGAGACAGATAGAAATAGTTTAAACCAATTTCCAACTTAAAGCTTGGCCAGGGCAGGGGCTTGGTCAGTTTTGTTCTTTAGTGCATGCAGGGGGAGCTTAATAAGTAATTTTTGAATAAATGAATGGATGAGTAACTTCATGGATCTGCTGTAAGATCACCAAATGACTTGGGTCTTAAAAGTGGATACAACCTAAGGGCTTATGTGATGCCAGCTTCCCTGTCCCTCCCCAGGCTGTCTTCTCTGTTGAAGAAGTCCCAGGTAGAGCGCCAGTGTGCTCAGGATCACTGTAGAAGAGGCAAAGACCTTTGGGGTTTAACTACTCCTGCCTAGTCTTTCTGAAAACAAGCTGAAACAGAGCTATTGCACAAAAGCAAAGTTGGTAACCGTGAAGAAAGCTATCAGCCTCTTGTCGGGGAAGGAAGCATGAGGATCATGCTTCTGTGCCCTCATCATCAGTAGTCACCAGTATTGTAGGACTTGAAGGGCACTGGAAAGTCCCATCAGCTCCCGTGATAGGACCAGAAACTTCACCATTAGAGAGTCATTCCTTTGGGTAAAGTGCTCATCTCCTCTAAATGTAAACACTGGTTGTATTGAATTGCCAACACTTCAGAGAGAATAAGCTGATTGGGTTGTTTTCTTTAAGGATAAGAGGCCCTCAAGACACTGAATCCTGGGGAAGAACTCAGAGAGAGAAGAGGCAAAGGCAAGTGAGCTGGAGGAGGAAAAGAAAGTACATTTGGTTTGACTTGATACATGCACAGGCCCTCCATAAGCTGCTTTCCCGTAGAAAGGCTATTTGACGTGGGGTGTTGGCTTGCTTCCATACAAATCTTTTGAAACTTCAGAAAAACCCTTCTCCCACCCCCACCCCACCATTGTGAGTCTCCCAGGTGAGTTAAAGTAATACACTGAAACATGTTGGAAGATGGATGCTAAATGTGTTCAAATGACTATCAGGCCACTGGGGAAGGTGTCCGAGCTTTCCTTAGGCCATTCTCTCACCATAGAAGGGAAAAACCAATCCCTGACAAGCACACAGCTGATTATTAACCGTGTGATGAAGTGTTACTTCCTGAACAGGACATTCACAATTCTTGAGAAACTCTTTCTCAACCAGAGTGAGTGACAGTTATAGAAAATGAAGGCTTTTGTTTTCTTCCTCTATGTGTGTCTCCCCGCTTCCCTGAACTTCTCCCACATCACACACTCTACCCTAGAAGGAAGATTTGATTTGGGAATGATTTCCCTGTGAAGGGAAGCAGTTAGAAAACTGCAGTTTACCTGCCCTGATAGAACTTGAATTACCCATACAGACTTCTCTTCCATAGTCCTTGCAGCCAAATGTTGCTTTTTTTTTTTTCCTTTCCAGATAATGCAAGTAATATCATTATCCATGTGGGGGTGTGTTTACTATTCTGAGATCACATTAACATTACTCATTTAACGATCAGCAATGTTTTGAAACCAAGTGTCTCACTATATCCTAAAGTGGGATTTTTTTCTCTACTGATGCTTTGATTGATAAGGACTGTTTATGACCATGACCTTTAAGATGCAGTTTGTGGGGTGTGAGCCTGGGGCGAAGGGAGGAAAAGGCCATCCAGTCAGCACCATCAGTGAACGCAGCGCACACCTCCTGGCAGGTTGGATACTCTTGTACTGGTGGCGGGCTCAGGAAGCTGCTCAAAGCTGCTCAGGCTGAGCAGCCGAGACTGAAACTGACTGACGCTCTCAAAGGTGGCGTCTTGGATTTTCAGTTCCGGTTGATATGAGGGATGATGAGGTGCTGTCTTCTCTTACTAATCAAACACGGAATCAGTGCCTGCTTTATGGCAGGCCCTGCGCACAGGACTGAGAGTAAAGACTAATAAGATGTCATTCCTCACCCTGAACTTTTTCAGTCTAGCAGAGAGACAGACATGTAAATAAGTGTGGTAGATGCCTGACAGAGATATCCTGTGGCAGATCAGAGAAAGTAGTCAGCTCCCTAAGGAGAGGAAGAGAAGGCTAAAGAGATAATGCTTGGACCAGCCCTTTGTTAATAAACAGACACTTGTCTAGGTGAGAATGAGATGCAAAGACAAAAGAAAAAAATTCTTTTGCATTTACAAAAGTACAAGGAAACAAATGGAACAGCATGGTGCTTTGGGAGAATTTCTAGAAGTTCAATGCCGAAGATATAAGTTGGAGAGAGGGAGGGAGAATAGTAGTAATAAAATACAGCAGTCAAAGCAAAGAACCCCTGGTAGGCTCTGAAAATCGGTTTTTACTCCACCGTATAAGCAATGGGAAGTTGATGGCTAGGTTTAAGGAAGGTAGGGACTTACCAGAGTTTCATTTTGGAAAGATCACTTGGGTATTTGTGGGGAGAATGGGTCTGAAGATGGCAAGACAGGAGGCAGGAAAACTCATTGAGAGGCTGTAAAAAGAATTCGAGAAAGATTGAGAATTGCAACTTAAGGTAGTGGGTGTGTGGATTAGAGGTTTTGAAAGATATAATTTCCAAGACTCGGTGGACATGTAGCAGGGAAGGAAGTGGAAGTTAAAGGAAAATGAGAAATCTGAGATGACACCCAGAGTTCTAGTTTCAGTGACTACAGATGATGTGGAGAGCAGGGGGTGTGAGAGAGAATGAATTCAGTTGTATGCATGTTGAATTTGAGATGCCTGTGGGATATCCAAGTGGAGATGCCCATTGTGCAGTCAGCTATGTGGGCTTGAGGCTCAAAAGACAGGTCAGAGATGACCAGAAAAGTATGAAAGTCGTTTGCATGTTGGTGGTAGTTAAAATCATGGCAGGGGATAGCTATGTCCTGTGAGGAAAGAAAACCAAGGATAGTTCCTTCAACTCGTCAACCAAAAGTAGCAAGCAAAGAAGGAGGAGCCAGAAAGGGAAACTGAAGGAGAAGAAAGGGAAACTGTGGCAAGAAGGGCAGGGAAGAGGGTTTCAAGGTGAAATGGTGCCAAAATCTCTTTGGCTGAAGTTCCTAGGTGACTGCTGTCTGGCCTCTTTGAACAAAGGGGTTCAGCACACATTTATTAAGAATAGATTTGGTGCTAGGAACTACTCCAGCTGAGGACAAAGAGCTATAACGATGGGCCCTAGGGAGCCTCCAGACCAGCAGGGACACAGATAAATAGATAATCCCATTACAACATAGTAAATGTGTTGAAAGATTATAAACAGGGTGCTATGAGACCATGAGCTAGGGGGCTTCTCAGGTGGTGCTAGTGATAAAGAAGCAGCCTGCTAATGCAGGAAACAAGAAGAGGTGCAAGATTGATCCCCAGGTCAGGAAGATCCCCTGGAGGAGGGCATGGCAAGCCACTCTGGTATTCTTGCCTGGAGAATCCCATGGACAGAGGAGCCTGGTGGGCTACAGTCCATAGGGTTGCAAAGAGTTATACACAACCGAGGTGACTTAGTATGCACACACAAACAGGCTGCTGTGGACCATAGGAAGGACTCCCAGATCATCCTGGTTGACTGTGTCACATCCTTCAGGAAGGCCAGTGAGGTCAAGATTCACCCACGGAATAAAGGCACCCACTGACACTGAAGGAGAGCAGTGACTGTGGGGCTACTGAGGAGCGAGGATGTGAAGTCAGGTTAGAGGAGGTGGGGAGAACATGGGTGTAAGGAAACGGATACTGTGCATGTTGACAATGCATTCAGAAGGATTACCTGCGAAAGAAGAGAGCTTCAACAAAATGTCAGTATTTAGGACTAGTAATTTTGATATGACTACTGATTTTGTCTGGAAGTCATTTCGCAAGCAAAATGTTAGGGCAGCCTCGTCATACAAGGAAGGTTGCAGACTCTTCAACTACAGAACACTTCCCACTACTTTCTAGGCCCTGGGTTGGGTACTTTGACATGATAGTCTTGGTTTTTCTTTTATCTCATTCTTCCCTTTCCTCTGTGTTTTTTGCTACCACCCACCCCCAACTTCTGATTCTCTCTCTACTGTACCTAGGCTTGCTCCCTAAGGGTGTTTGAGTTCTTGGTACAATATTAGAAGTACAAGACTTTCTCAAAATATTTTAATAAGCAAGGCTAAAAATAATAAATAATGTTAAACAGCAATAAATAATGTCATTAAACCCTTGTAAACTGTTAAAGAAGAATGTAGGCAAGAATGCTGTCCAAATGGAAGTGAGGTTACAGTTCCAGCCATGTCAGGGGAGCAAGCACAGAAGCCCTGGGTGGCAATCATGAGTTTCAGGAGGTTGTGGTACCCAGTATCCATCACACAGGGTTAGCCTGCCGCTGTGTTGCTTTTAACAGCATGTCCTAAACTGAGCCGCTTTGGATTGTATAATTGTAGAGTTGTAATCTTTACCTGTTTCAAAGAGCTGGGTGCCTCAGACAACTGAAAAATCAAAATGCAGATGCAACAACAGTATCAGAGACACACCTTCCTGAGTGCAGAGGTGGTGAAACAAAAAAAGTAATGGGTGGAACAAACTGTCAGGGTTTCCAACTTCTCTAATTTGGAAGGAGTCATTAGGTAAAGAAATAGCACACTCCCACTCACCCCAGCAGAAGCCAGAATGGCCCAGTGGGTAGATCAGGAGTAGAAATAGAAGTTGTAATGTTTCTGTGTTGAGTTTTCAATAGGAAGATCCAGTGGGGTCCTAGACAATTTGTGAAGTAGGCCAAGCTTAGCCCATCCTGTCACTTCTTCCAGCATATTTCTTCCCTCCTAGGCAGCGACTTCTATGTTAGAAGCTCAGAGTAGGTACCCGCCACTGGACTAAGCACACTGAATATTTTCATTTGAATATTGCAGCTAACCTATAGGCTGAGTACTATTATCATCCTCATTTTGGATAAAGAAACTGGAGTTTGAAGGATTAAGTAACTTGATAGAGAAACACTGCTAGATGATTTAGTTGTATCTGACTCTTATGTCTGTGCTTTTAATAATTAAGCAATAGAGCTACAGCTAGGACATAATCTTTGAATTTTGTCCTCAGTTGGCTATTATTTCCTTTTAAAGTGTTACTCCTCCCAAAGATTTTTGGGACTAGAAAAGGCTTCAAGAATCTCCAATATGACATGTCACTTCCTGCCTTGATCTGTAATGTATTCATGAAAAACATGAAAATCAAAGGTATAGATATCAAGCAAAAGACATAGATGCTATTTGGTTTGGTTAAGAGGTAAGAGGACTTCCAGAGATTTAGAAAGTAATTATAAGTATGCAAACTACTCTTTGCCTTTTGGACACCATATTTGATACCAGAATTTTACCCATGCTCTTTAATTTGTTCTTTTTATTTGTAATTGAACATAAAGTCAACATCTCTTCTATTGAGCATCAATCATGACTGAAAACTGACCACTTTTAGCACATCTAATTATTTCTATTTTTGCCTTAATTTTATTTAGTTAATGAGAACTGCATATTTTTACTAATATCAGCACTTTTCTTTTTCTGTTTCCCATTCACTTTTATAAATTAATATTTGAATATTCAGACAATTACATGAATCTTCCATTACCAAGATGGTGCTATTGTCAAAAGTGAAGAGTAGTTCAGCTCCATTGTGGGAAACTCATAGTGTTCTTTTGTTAAATAATGAACGAACATATGAACTTAGCATGTGAGTAGTGCTCGCTTCGGCAGCACATATACTAGCATGTGAATAAATAACTTGGGGTAGGATTGTCTAAGGTATGGAAAATGTGGTCAGTAAGACAGTTAGCATACGATAGTCAATATGACTATAAATACTCATCAGTTTAGCAAACACTTAAGGAGTGCCTAGTATGTATGCTTGGC